ATAACCCAGGCCCAACTGCGTCTCATGGGCAGCCCAGTTGTCCTAAGTCTGTCATCTTCCTGCCCCTGCCTCCCCAGGCTGGAAGTGCAGGCTGTGCCGACCGTCAGGCAGGAAAACGTCTTAACTTTCTGCGCACCATGACTTGCTCTGAGCTCCCAACTCAAGGCACCGTGCAGAGGTTTAGAAGAAAAGCAAAATGACTGAAAACTCAGTCTTTATAGATTTTATAATTGGCATGAAAATATTTCCCAAATAGTATTCTTAGAGTTCAGTTCACTGACATTAGGAGAAAATTAGTAATGTTTATATTTCTCAAAATTATGACAGAAAGTTTTCTTTCTGGGTTCTCCGATAACAAATCATAGGCAACATTTTGGCCGCTAAGTTTTCTGTTGTACTTCTGAAAGGTAGGAGAGCAGGGAGGGGCTGTCACCGGTCACTCCAGCCTCCTCCTCACGGGTCTACTGCTCCTCAGGGGCTGGTGTCTTGCTTACCGTCAAATTGACATAATAATCACTTGGTTAGCAGAAAACAGGAAGCTTGTCAAATCACTGGATGTGTGGCTTTCCCCCAATTAGCAGCAGGAGGTTGCCCCTTTATCCTGCAAATCTTCCTATGTTAGAATAAACTGTCTTGACATTTACTATTATAAATATTCATATATATGTGTGTGCGTGTGTGTGTGTGTGTGTGTGTGTATAATAAAACCCCAGGTATTACGAAAAGAAACACATATTCACACTTAGAAGAAACACTTGTTAAACTAAACCTGGGGCCAGTGTGTGACAGCAGGCATCACCACGAGCCACAACTCCATCTTCTGGTCACACTGTTGATTACTGAAAAGCAACCTATTCTGTAGCTTTCTAGACCATGGGAAATCACGTTGTACTCATATATGAAGGGTCTGGGTGTCAGTCAACCAGTCTTGACAATAACTCCACCTTGTTCCTATCTAAAGGGAACGCTACATCAGGCTCGCCTGCTTCCTCAGGTCCACGGGGCAGCACCTCTCTATGAGCATCTTTAATCCGCACTTGGAGACTCTCTGCCCTTAGGTAATGGAAGGCCCACTTCCCTAGGCCAACGCTCACTGCTGGCAACGGCTACATCAGAACCACCAGAACCAGAGATTATTCAATTCACATTTTCAGCAAGCCAAAGAAAACAGAGCTTTGAACAGTCCAAGTGTCTGAAGAGGCTGTTTTGGCAAACACGGTTTCAAAAAGTACAAGTCATTAGCTTCCTTCGTGTGGAAGTAGGCCTTTCCCAATGCACAATTTATTACTGGCACAGGATTCACCAAGCTCTGCCAGTAACAGGGGGAGAATTGTTGGAAAAGTGATCTATGTCCACGATTCCAGTTAAGTTATAAAAGCAGTATGTAACTGAGCACAGGCCGGTGCCACACGGTCGTGGTAGCGAGCACTAAATCAGCATCAATTATCTGCCACATTTGGAACAAACGAGTATTACTCACTGAAAAATCTTGTATAAAACCTACTTTAAAAGGAAAAGAAAAAAAAATCAGAAAGTGCCTGCAGGTGTTCCAGGAACCTTTATTAATGCAAGGACCAAATCTGAGGATTAACAAATAGATCATAAATCTAGGAGGAAGCTTGGGTATCAGTTTGCACAAGGAAAAAGGCCTTGAGGTGACAGGACTTGAACGTGTCCCACACAACCTGAGACACAGCTAAGGAGTTTCGTATTTCAGGGTACCCAGGCTTCGAGGCACTCACCCTGTCTCTCAGAACAATTACTTTCTGCAGTGGAAAGCACACTATGCCTCCCAGATGTGCAACCAAAAACGGCGTGGAGGCCAAAATGCAAATTACGGCTTCCTGGTCTGCAGCGTGAACGTGTGAAAGAAACAGAGGCCACATTAGCTTCTGTTCACAGACATTTATATTAATTAATGTAAATTACTAGGTTTAAAGTGGATTTGCAGAAATGCGACAGGTGAGAGAGGGCATCTCAAAGCAAGACATCCCTGAGGACAGCTGGGACTCAGGAACTGAGACAGCTTTCTTGGTACCTTAGGGAGGAAGCCCCGAAAGGTTACAGTGCATCTCAGAGAGTCTGAAAATAAAACGATAGTTTTGTAATCTAAGGACTTTCCCAGAGTGAAGTGAACGATCACCATATAGGTAGCTTACAAATTCTAGCTTTTTATACTAGAGAAAGACACTGAGGACTTGAAAAGGACTCTCTCTAATTGAGAGAATGAAACAACTCTGAACAATTTGGGAAGGAAGCAGGAGAAGATATAACACAGCCACCACGAGAATATCCAGTAACAAGATGCCGCTGAGTGTGACTGTCCCCCTGTGGCTAAAGATATGCTCCACACAGGAGGAACTGACTTCTGAGTCAACACAACGGCACCGAAGCAGAAAGAATTGTCAGTACTGGGCAGAGGAGGGGAGGCTTGGTGAATCCACTGACTCCCTTTTCAGAGTATAATTTATACTGTTGATGTAAACATACAGCTCCACGGCTTACACTACTGCGTACAGAGGATGGCACATTACTTAAGACCATGTCTACACACACCTTCATGGCTTACAGGAATGCACACTGGATGGAACATTACTCAAAACTATCTATATACAGCAAAATCCTCTGGATAAGTTTCTCTGTCATTAACAGTCCTAGGAAAGCAAAGCAAACATTAGTGACTCTCTGAAGCTGAAAATAATCAGGCATTTAATAAAACTGCTGCACTTTTGGGCAAAGTAAAGTACTTTTCACAATGAAGGAACGTGCTAGAATCAGTTGGATTAGGCTGCTTTTGGGGGATGGCAGTGAAGTATGTCTATCATCTTAGCTGTAGCCCACTGAACCCCGCTTATTTTCACACCCAAGGAATTGAACCACCTGAAGAGAGTATGCAGCTAAGAGAGAACAGGAAGGCATCTTACCACCCCGAGTGACTAATCTAATCATCTAAACAATTCCTCTCCTGTCAATGAAAGGCTGAACGAGCAGATGACCGGGGCCTCTAATGAATCTACTGCCAGGCATGTTCTAGAGCAGATGGTAATGTCACCATGCTCCCCCAGTTCCAATTTTAACAGCTGCTCACCACAGATTTGAGGAACACTACGAAGGGTTTACATACAGATTAATAATTGGATTCCCAAGATTGAGAGACAGCTTCTCTTGTCCTATGAAGCATTTAAAACCAACAACTTGAAGAAACAGGAGCTAACTCTGCATTTCCCCATGACTTGAACCTGGGTCAGAGAACAGGCAGGCAGCCTCACATCGTGGCTGGGAAGACTACCCAAGTACCCTTATAATGCCACCACAGCTGGGGGGAAGACCTTGGGGAGGAAAGGGTTTGTTTTAGCTTACAGCTCTCAGGTCCCACCCCCTCACTTAGGAAGCTAGGGTAGGAATTTGAGGCAGGAACCTGGAGGCAGGAACTGAACAGCCCATGGGTGAACTTGCCCTGGGGTGGTACCACCCACAGTGGGCTGGGGCCTTCCTTGTCAATCATTAATCAAGAAAACACCTACCACACTTGCTTATAGGACGAGCTAATGGATGCTTTTTCTCAGCTGAGAGTTCCTTCCCCAAATGACCCTAGCTTGTGTCAAGATGACAAGAAATTCAGCAAGCACCAGGGCTGAAGCGAACACAAAGATTACTCAAGGCTATTTTTCCTCACACAGTTTCCTCTTTGACTGGTGATAACATATATATTATTTGGTGATAATATATTTATTGGTGATAGTATAATTACTGGTGATAATGTGTGTGTGTGTGTGTGTTCATAGAAAAGGGCATGAAATAACAAACTCCATAATGAATACAGAAAAAATGGCTGGATAGGTTAAGGAAGGGAGATAATGTTTTAGCTTTATGAGCTGGGACATTCAGAATCTGGGACTCGAGACAAGTAGAATTTGAAAAGCAGTAATTAAGACAAGCAGAATCTAGGCTCAGCCTGGAAAAGCTATGCGCTTATGTGAGGAAGGATTTGTGGTTTGGTTTGAATGGAGAATGGAATTCAGGACAAGGAGCAGTAGGAAATAAAAGTTGGGTAATAAGAGTCTGGGATACAGGTTGGCACAATCAACTAAAAACAATAAAATTAAATTTAACTTGGATGAACTTCTAGTTTGGGATGGCAGAGTAGAGATATTGTTTCTCCCTTTCTTCTTGAAAACCACCCCCAAACAATTAGAAAACCACCTCTAACTTCAGTGACGAAGAGGCATTTAAGAACCACAGTGCCTGAGAATTAAAAGCAGGGACAAGAATGACTGATGAGTTAGTACACAGATGAAGGCCAAGCCCACGCATCCTGAGAGGGAGATACCAGAAGGGAACAGCACTTCCAGAGTCTACCCAGAATACCTGTCAGACCACACATAATTTCTTAGAAAAACATAAAGGTATATAATATTAAAACTAGTATCTTATGTAGCCAAGAGGGCTGTGCTCTTTTTTTTAATAAACCAAATCACTGATAAATGAACATCAAAATGGAATATATTTTGAAAGCATATTTACACTAGCATAAGAGAATCAAACTCAAGTATTGATTTCCCAGAGGAACAGCCCTCTTTCACGTTTCTGATACAGCCAAGATCTCAAATAAAATAATAACAATAACGGCACAAATCTACACTGAGCTGTTAACCTATGTCAACCCGGAGTGCAATCAATTTTAAACTTTTAAACTTATTTGCTTTTATTTTATGAGCATTAGCATGCACATCTGTATGAAGAGTATTGGGAGTCACAGACAGCTGTGAGCTGCCATGCGGGTGCTAGGAACCGAACTGGCCTCCTCTGGAAGAGCAGCCAGTGCTCGTAACCATTGAGCCATCTGTCTGGCCCTGTGTAACAGATTTTAATGAGAAAGACTGGACCTCTGGTTTCTTTCTTATGAGTGCATTATTAAATAGGAAAGAAGCAAGAGACTAGAAAACGAGGTAATTCAGGTTAGCAGTTTTCTCAGACGGAAAAGACGGAGCGAAGCTCACCACTTGAACCATCTTCAGATATCTGGCATATCGTGGATCCCTGGCCACAGTGACGACATTTTCTGATGGAGTTCCACTTTCCTGTGCTCCGGAGTCTTGTAAGTTGTCCTGCTGTAGAGAGTTTTTGTAAATCTTTAAACAATTCACAAAAAGCATCTATCACGTTTCTAAAAAGGGATGTTTATTTTTATAATTATAAGGCAATAAATATTTAAAAATTATATTCTTATATTTAAATATCAATAATTTAATTGTTGGATATGTTTCTAAATACCTATACATACTTATAAGCTAAACTTAGTATCAATAATACATTGCTCCTTAAAATGCAGATGTATTCTTGGCATCAGAATTTTAGTTTTCCTTTATTTACCCTATGAAACAGGATGGGTAAGCTTATCAGGAGCCAATAAAGCAGTTTGTCACCTGCTCAGCCAATGGACAATGACTTCCTTTTCTGGGTGTCTGCCATCTGACCTATTGCCCCTCACTTGTTAAATTACCATATCCTAAATGGACATGGTGATTTCCGTTTTTAGAACGTGATGCTTGGAGGTTTCTCGGAGAAAACAAGATTCTCTGGTTTTGTACATTTCACATGTTAGTGAGCTGTCATTAATGGTGACAAAGTCAACAGCGTGGCTAAATACTGAATACTAGTCCCAGGGACAAACACTGAGGGATGGTGTTTTTGAACAATGGCACTCGTGACATGGCACAACTGTGCCACCAGACGCTGGCACAGTTAAGACCTGCTGCACACGGCACTCGGCTTCTCTACCAACCTGAGCACGCAGAGTAAACGTATTTTGTGACTCTCAGCCAGCACCGGTGTAACTGCCATGGGAACTTCTGCCGCAGGCACCATTAGTTTTATGTCAATGTATCTGCGCTAAAATGTGGATAAACTACTATTTTATAGATCTTCAGTCTTAGCCGCGTAGTGGCGGCACATGCCTTTAAAACTAGATCCTCAGAGGCAGGAGGATCACTGTGAGTTTGAGGCCAGCCTGGTCTATAGGTGAGTTCCAGGACAACCAGGATTACAACCTGTCTTGAAAAAATAACAAACAAAACAAAACAAAAATCTTCAGTCTTTAGAAAAGTAACATAAATTATGTTTACATACTAATATAATTTATTTGTAAGCCAAATCTTTAAAAAGAAAAAAAAAGGAACTCTGAAGCAATAAAATAAATACAAATTCTTTTGGTTTCTTCCACTATGTGATATTGTTAAATGTTACAAAAGTAATTGACAATATGTATGAATAAATACATTCATCTGCAAAACAAACACATAAGTCCAAACATTGTTAAGCATAAAAAGACTCCAGCATATTTTTAAGTCTTTGATGCACAGCCCATCCGAAGTCCGCAGGAGCAAATGAGAAGAGCTGCACTCATTCTAACAGCTTCGACTTCAGGGCCTCCCTTGTCCCCAACAACCAGGGCCTCCTGGTTAATTATGCACTGTCATGCCCTTACTATATGATCCTTTCTCTCAACTGTACTTCATTTCATTCTCAAATCGACCTCAATCTGAATAACTGATACCCTGCTGTGAACAGAGATAAGATCTGAGCCATGAAATCAAAGTTGCACAAAAATCAGTATACAGACCACAGGGTTTGACTCAGTTTAGAAACAGTAATAAAGGAATGCTTTCGATTCCATTATTGTTTTGTGCTGAGGCAGGGTCTCATGTAGCCTAGATTGGCCTTCAATTCACTATAGAGCCAAGAATGACCTTGAACTCCTGATACTCCCCTGCCTCCACCTCTCAGGTATCGGGATAGTCGAATTGACTACAATATCCATGGAAATCTGTACAAAGCAATATTTAAAACCCTTTCAAGACATCTTATATAAAAATATACTAGTAAATGCCAACGTGGACAGAACGAGAAGTTGATCTGAATGTTTGCATGCTCAAGAGTCATATTGTTAGGTTGACCAAACAGATGTCATCACAGTTTTATAAACGCAGGAAGCCACAGAACTGCCCCGTACTCTAGATGAATTCATTTACGACTCAAAAACTGTCAGACACATATCAGGTGAATATGCAAAGCAAATGAAGAAATTCAGGTCTGATTAGCAGTAATAGGTATTTGGGGATCTGTAGGGGACTGGCCGTAGGACCCCAAGGATCTTGAAATCTGCGGCCGCTAGAGGATCCTATGTAAAGCTGCACTGTGTCTGAATTTAACATAAGCTATGTGTTTTTAGGCTGTCCTAGATTACTTATAATACCGTTTCAATGTAAGCAGCCATGCTGTTTAAGGAATAATGACAGGGAAAGGAGTCCATATACGTTCAGTAGAGATGCAAACAGTTTTTCCTGAATATTCTTACCATGTGTCTAGGTGAATCCTGAGATGCAGAATCAGGCACAGAAGATCAACTAACTATACTTGGGTCATAGGGCTCTTCTGAGAATAAATATATTCAGTTATTAAAAAACAGAAGTAGATGTGTGCTGACACACAGCAGGCTTCCTTTGTCAGCTACTAACCTTATTAACAACACCATTATGATCTAAAAACACTGTGTGAGAATATTTCTAGATAGAGACGCAAAATTCACTTACATAGGATGCCTACTCTGTTAGTATTAACTTTAGTGGGTCACCATTTTGGTGACTGGTTTATTTCATATTTTAATACTTCACTGAGATGTGCATTTAATGGCGATTTCTAAATAGTAACAAACTTTGAAAGTCCATTGAGATATACAGACTTTGCGTCTTGTTAACTTTGGTGTGATATATGCACAATAAAGGTTTAATAGAAACAAAAACAGAGTATCTAGCTCCTTTTCCTCAAGAATGTGTTCTGTATCTTCAGGTCTTGTAATCTGACTCAGAGACTCACACCCACTGACATCTGCCAAGGTCTATGCACAGGGCTCCGGCTCAACCGAGACATCCCACGTCCCCTGCAAACTCCTCTTACCTGCGGCTGCTCTGAAGGGCTCTCGGAATGTGACCCGCTGGGGACAGCAGTGACAGCTACAGGGGACACCTCGACCGTGACGTCCTCGAGGCCTGGGATGGACGACAGCTGAGGAACATAAACCAGTGTTGGCGTAGGAAGAGCACTCCAGCTGCGCAAAAATACTTCCTGCCTGCGCGGTCTTACTTAGCTCCCTTAAACCTACATCCTTAATCTCCATGTCAGAAACTAAAAGTGAAAGACATTCACAATGTCTTCTGAAGATTTTTTTCAAAAGTTTAATTAATAACCCTTTTGCCCTATAAATTGTGGTTAAGACTAGAGGAGTTTCGTGTGCGAGCTGAGAGTCTGACCAATGAAGTGTGTTACATGACTAACACAATTTGAGCCTCTGGCTCGCCTCCCTTATACCCCCATTTTTACTGTCTGTTTACAAGGATGAGATTTCCCTTATAAAATTATTTTTGAAACACTTTTATTAAAAATGGCTTGCTAAAGAAAAGTGCCTTGCTGTACACAGTGTATGTGCACACATGGTGTATGCACGTGTGTATATGTATACCTGTGTGTGGGTTAGCAAGCATGTGTATGTGCGTGCATGTGCGTGTATGTGTGTGCGTGTGTGTGTGTATGTGCGTCCATGTGCTGGAGTCTCCCTCACTGGCCCTTCAGCAGTTTCTCAGAAAGGGTCTCTCGCTGACTCTGGAGCTCCTCCATGGCTGGATCAGCTGGATCCTCCCGTCTGAACGCGGGTCCTCGAGCTCGTGAGCGAGCACTTCCCGAGCCTTCACCCAGCCCCCTAGCACAATGAAGACGCAATGATGTGAGATGTGTCTTTACACTTTACATATGACACAGCTCGTCTTCTCTCTGTAAACGTTTTCCATCAAATGTTACTAAATCATGCTTTCTAAATTTACAACAAACGAGCATACTGTCAACGTTCCAGACTAGGACGCGTTTTAAAATAAAAAAGCATTTGGGGTTAGATTAACAAAATCCCTTCCTGATTTTACCCTGGTGATAATGACATGTGTCTGTCAAAGCTTGCTGGCTGTGAAGATTATGCGACAGCCAGGGACGCGCTAAGGTTAACTTGTCCATGAGGAAATGTAACTGTGTCCTTGGATGGCAGCACCTGAAAACTCCCCCAGCATTAAACAGGACACAGTCCTGACACAGGTGTAAGAGTCACTGGAGACAGGATCTCAAGCAGCACAAGTCATTGACAAGTGTTGACAGAAGGCAGTGCTTAGCAAAGCGGCAGTGCCCCCACAGGCACGGGTGTGACAGGCACAGTGTGGCTGCTAGAACAGCCCCAGCACGCTCATTTCTAAGCCAGAGAAATGTTCTCAGGCAGCACACTTGTTGAAGTCCCTAGGGGCAGAGAAAGTACAACCGCACCTTTACTGACTTACTCTAATACGAACGCAAGATTTCTCACTTGAATATTTAGTAAACATTTTGATCAATTAAAAAGTTAAATTCATTTTTGAACTGATCCATAAAAAGACAGACACTGAACAGTTTAATGGAGTGGAGAGTAAAATCACAAAAATACAGTAGAAAAAATACAGTAGTTTCTCCTATATTTCATAAACAGGAAAAACATATAGAACATTACAAATTAAAACAAGCTAAAACTGAATCTGTCAGTTATTTATCAAAATATCTAGGCTTCAGATAAAAATTATTTTTCGCAGATAACATGGGACCTTTTGTTTGTTGTTTTGTTTATTTCATTTTTTTTTTTTTAAAAGAGACTGCCTGTCTCTGTATAGATCGTATAGATCAGGCTGGCATCAAACCCATTATCCTCCTGCATCAGCCTCTTGAGTACTGGGATTATCAACATGGACTAATATACTCAGCTTCTTGGCAATTCATGGTTTCAAATTGATATTCTTCATTAACTTTCAAGATATTTACATATGAAAATATTAGGCAATGTTTATAAATTTTGCCCAGGAGACATTTAAGTTTTATTCTGTTTTATTATTGTGCTACTATTAAAATGAAAATAATTTTGAGTTTCCATTACGTAATGTGAACCATATAATAGCTTAATTTGCTAATACGATGCTTCTATTGTACTTTTACACTTGGCATAATAAAGGAACTCTCAATCCACGAGCATTCTGATAAGACTAGGTTAATGTTTATTTAGCACCATTCATTACCTTGCAATTATAATATATTTTTTTAATGTACTATACAATATCATTTCACAGACACAGGGGTCAGGTTGACTTCACTCCCAAACACATTCTAAATATAACTAAGAAAGATGGTGTGCATGCAGAAAAACTCACCCTGTGTTTAGAAATACAAACCTTTGCATCTAAAATATTGAGAGTTGTTTCGATTTGTTGAATTCGAAGAGAAAGGTCTGCCAGTTTCTAGAAAAATCAGAGACATAATAACAGAGTATTTAATGGACATGCTGAAAAGAATAATGAAAGGCA